GAATGATACTTTCCAAATTGTTGCACTTTGCTTTGGAACTGTACAGGCACCATGCCCACCATTGCTGCCTGTCATGCCGCCATTTCAGCGATCATACTCATCGGCTACCATACCGAATGCAAGAAAAAAACATAGTACATGATTGCTTTGCCATGATGGTACCATTCCCAATGCTGCTGCAAGCCATCAGCTCCACGATGAAAAACAACTGCCTGAGTTATGTTCCAGGCCCCACCAGAGGTGCTCAACGCCAACAGAAGCAATGCAGTAGACAGGAGAAGTTGAGCAGATACTGTGAGCTTGTCAATGGCCCGAAGACTGCGCCAGTCTGAACGAGCCTCCTGTATCACAGTAACGAGCACAGAAGCTGCCAAAGCGCCACCAATGACCGGAGTCGCAGCAGCTGCCAGCAGAGTGGCAAGTTTGAGGAACACCACGGGGGCCAAAGACCAAGCTTGGCTGACAGCCAGTTCTGTCACTCGCAGGAATAGGTTCCCAAAGAAGTCGAACGGAACAGTTCGCCGCCCATACGACAACAAACAAAACCAATAAAGACTTCTGGCGAAAATGCACAGCCGCTTCCGGTTTCGAAATTCAAGCTGCTGATGTGGTGCAGGTGCAGGTAGAACATCGGAATCTCCATGCAATCCTTTGGTCAGCAAAGGCTGCGACGCAGCTATGCCCTTAACTGCCCCGTATGGCACGCTGAATATTTTGCAATAGTAGTTCACAAGGGATAGGACCAAGTTGTTCATCTTCACATGACTAAAGTATAGCAGCAAAAGCGCCGCACCCAAGGCTGTCAAAGTTGCGAAAGGCTGCAGTTGGTAATAGCAAGCACCATTACCTTCAGGCACCCTGGAGACAAAGACGTGGGTCACAGCAGCTGCCCAGTATAAGGCTGCATCGGATGCCAGCAACTGAAAAGCCCATGAAAGCACCCCGATCACTAGTGTAAAGTCTTCTGCTACATCTGCCAGCAAAGCCCAATCATGGGCAAGTTTCATCAGAGTCCACATGACGAGGACAAAAAGGTAGACAGTAATGGCACAGCCCTTGTCCCGATTATCCTCAATCTGCTTCCGGACGTTGTCTGTTTCGCACACAAGCTCGTTGACGTGGGCCGGGTTGGGAAACTCTTTGGTATCAGATGCTGACCAAATCGAATCGAGGATAGGCGGATAGGTTTGCATGAGCCCCCACCAAGTGCCTTGGGGATGTAGAGCCGAGAAGTTGCCACCATTCTCAACAGATATAAAGGCTGGGAAGTCCCAAGACGGAAAACTTGAGTTTTTGAGTTGTAATTTTGCTGCAGTGGTTTCGGGCACTGTTTCGGTCCTAGAATAATGAATGTTGTGGCATGGCTTGGTGCAGGCATAAAGATCTGTCATCGGATCTGGCTTGTAGTTCACCACAGCAAGGAAAGGAGCCCATCCGAGGCAAGTAAGAACCAAACATTCGATGTATCGCGACAAGCCCATTGCGCAAGCGGTGCGGTACAGACTATGGATCTATGGAATGAGAATGAGGAATGCGATGCTCGAAGCAGAGAAACTGTGAGCTATAATTGAGCAGCATTGGCGATGGTGATGAACAGGTGCGTTGTGAACATGA